ATGTGCAGCGAAGCGAAAGTATGACCACAAGAGTTCTTAAACTTTCCAAGTTACGAAACTGTAAGAAACACACCTTTAGGGGCAATGTTATGCTCTAGGCCTTGTTTATTACTGCACACGAGTTGACTTCAAAAAAACGACGGGACAAATTCAGTCCGGGAAATCAGTGTCCAAAGCAAACACAACCCTGAAGCATCAGTGTCGAAACCGATACCGACCCTGAAAAACCAGGGTTGTGTTTCGTGCCAACCCTGAAATAAAGTTTTTTTTTTCCAAGTCGACACTGATCAATCAGGGTGGTTCAAAACCAATCTGGGGGCCTGGTGTCAACTTATAGGTGCTGCTTTGCATGCTTTGTATGCTGACGCTTCTAGTGTTGATGGATCTTACTACCCTGTGTACTCTAGTTTAGGTGTTTCACCCTTGTGTAGCTTAGCTTCCCCTGCTGCGACAGGCGTAGGACTGCCTAGGTTGCCTAGTCTCGTCGCTGCACCGGCTCCGTCCCCGGCCCCCGCCACTGCGTCGCTGTCCTTCACTCTCGACTCTGGTGCTTCTGCCTGCTTCTTCCGCGACCGTTCCACGCTCACGCCGCTTGCTGCACCTGCTGTTGTCTCTCTCGCTGACCCCTCTGCGGGTCCGGTCGTCGCGCGCAGTTCTACGTCCCTTCCCTGTCCGGCAGTTCCCTCGGGCTCCCTTACTGGCCTCCACGTTCCCTCGTTCTCCAGGAACCTGGTTGGTGTCGGCTGTCTCCAGGACCTCGGCGTCACCACCACGTTCCCCGGGCACGAGCGGTTCGCTGTCTGTTCTGAGGCTGTCTCAGGTTCCCCCCTTGCGACGTTCCCCCGGGACCCGGTGTCCGGTCTGTTTACCCTACACACCGCTTCCCCCCCGGTTGGTGCGTCCTCCCAGGTCGCTGCAGCTTGCTCGTGTCGGTCCCTCACTCACCCCTCCCTTCTCTGGCACCACCGCTTAGGTCACCCTGCTCTCCCGCGTCTGCGTCACATGTCCCAGCACGGTCTTGTCTTAGGTCTCCCCGCGTCGCTCCCTGCCCTTCCTCCCTCGACTGCGCCACCGTGCACGCCTTGCGTCGAGGGTCGGCTCCGCCGTGCTCCTCACTCCTCCTCGCTGCGTCCTGCTACTGCCCCCCTTCAGACCCTGCACTTGGACGTTTGGGGCCCTGCCCCCGTCCCCGGACCGCGCGGTGAGCGCTACTTCCTTGTCCTTGTCGACGACTACACGCGCTACACCACGGTGTTTCCCCTGGAGCGGAAGGCCGACGTGCCCGACGTTCTTCTCCCGTGGGTTGTGGCTGCGCGTCTCCACCGCGGTCTCCCCGTGTTGTGTCTCCACTCCGACCGTGGCGGCGAGTTCGCCTCTGGTCGGCTTGGACAGTTCTGTCGTGCGGAGGGCATCACCCAGTCGTACACGTTGCCGGACTCGCCACAGCAGAATGGGGTTGCTGAGCGCTGCATCGGCTTGGTCATGGAGGTCGCCCGTACCTCCATGATCCATGCCGATGCCCCCCATTTTCTGTGGCCGTTCGCTGTTCGCTACGCGGCTCACCAGCTTAACCTGTGGCCACGCTCCCAGCGGCCGCAGGTTTCGCCGACCCTCCTTTGGACCGGGTCCCCCGGTGACGCGTCTGCGTTCCACGTCTGGGGCTGCCTTGCTCACGTTCGTGCCTCTGGCACGGACAAGCTCACTGCCCGCACTGTCCCCTGTGTCTTCCTCGGTTTCCCCCTGGACTCGTCTGACTGGCTTTTCTACCACCCGCCGTCTCACCGCTTCCTCCACTCTCGTGACGTCACCTTTGATGAGTCCGTCTCCTTCTACCGCCGCTTCCCTCACCGAGGTCTCCCAGTTGCCCCCCCCCTTTTCCTTGCTCCCTCTCCCCCGGTAGCCCCTGCCCCTCTCCCGCCTCGTCCTGCCCCGTCTGGTGTCTCCCACGTCACTCCCCTCCCGTCGGTTGTCCCCGTTGAGGAGTCTGCTGACTCTGGTGGTACCCCCGGTCCGTCCTTGCCGCGTCCCCCTTCCCCGGTGCCTCCGCCCCCACTGTCGCAGTCGCCGACCCCGCTGCCGCCGCCGTTGCCGTCGCCGCCGCAGCCGTCGCCGCTTTCGTCGCCGCCGCCGCCGCTGTCGCTGCCGCAGCCGTCGCCGCTGTCGCCGCCGCCGCAGCCGTTGCCGCCACTGCCGCCGCTGCTCTCGGCCCCTGGGGGTGCTGGTGTGGAGGAGGGTGTTCGTCCTGCGGCTTCTGGGGGTGCCGCTGGTGTTGGAGGGGGTTCTCGCTCTGGGGGTGTTGGTTCTGGGGGTGCTGCTGTTGAGTGTTCTGCCGACGGTCGTTCTGCCTCTGCTGGTCCGAGAGTTCCGGCCCAGCCGTCGTCGCCGCCGCAGCAGCCGTCGCCGCCGGTTTCCGCTCTCCGCCTGCTCGGCCTTCCCTCCCCGGACCGCGCGCCGGTGTCTCCCCCACCGCCTCCTGACCTCCCTGTCTACGGTCCTGTGTTCCCGCCGCCAGACTCGTCTCCGGCCCGTCTTCCTCCTCGTTCCCCTCCTGTGTCTCCTCCGCTGTCCCCTGACCCTACCCCTCCGTCTCACGTTTGGGCTCGCCGTCCCTCCCGTGCTCGTCCCGTCTCTCCTGTCCTGCCCACCCACCCTATGTTGCTCCGTTCCCACTCGTCTCGTCCTCCCCTCCTCCCGTCCCCTCCTCCCTCGTCCCTTGCTGTTGCACCTCCTCCGTTCTCTGACTACCTCCGTGCTGCTCGTCCCCTTGTCCCTCGGGTCCTTGCCTCTCTTGTTACCGACCCTGCTGTTCCTGTCTCGCGCCTTGACGCGCTTGTCGCTGCTGTCGCTGACTTCGCTTCTACCCGCCGCCTTGACTACGCTACCGCTCTGGTCTCTGACCCTGCCCGTCCTCTGTCCGTCGGGGGTGCTCCTGCCCTTGGCAGTGACGTCCTAGAGGACAGGCAGTACGAGCTGGCTTTCCTTTCCGAGGCTGCTCCCCATCTCTGCTCCATGCTGTTAGTCCCTGAGGGTGACCCAGACGCCTTCGACATCCCGACCCCTCGCACCTACGCTGAGGCCACCTCGGGACCTTGGGCCTCTCAGTGGATAGCTGCCATGGAGCAGGAGATGGCATCTTGGAGATCCACCGGCACTTACGTCGACGCAGTTCCCCCGCCTGGGGTGAACGTAGTCGATGGTCGGTGGCTCTTCAAGGTGAAGCGCCCCCCTGGAGAGCCGCCTGTCTTCAAGGCGCGCTACGTGGCCAGAGGTTTCAGTCAGCGCGAGGGGGTTGACTTCTTCCAGACCTTCGCCCCGACCCCGAAGATGACCACTCTTCGGGCGCTGCTACACGTAGCAGCACAGCGTGACTACGAGCTTCACTCCCTCGACTTCTCTACTGCCTTTCTTCAGGGCAGCCTACACGAGCAGGTCTACCTGCGCCGACCACAGGGCTTCACTGGTACCTTCCCTCCTGGGACCCAGTGGCTTCTCAGGCGCCCGGTCTACGGCCTGCGTCAGGCTCCCCGCGAGTGGCACGACACGCTACGTGCCACGTTAGCAGACCTGCAGTTCTTTCCGTCCTCTGCTGACCCTTCACTGTTTGTGCGTTCCGGCCAGACTCCGTTCTACATCCTTGTCTACGTAGACGACCTGGTCTTCGCTACTCCTGACAGGGACGCACTGGCCTCTGTGAAGGCTGAGCTGCTGAAGAGACACACCTGCACTGACCTTGGAGAGCTGCGTCGCTATCTTGGCCTACAGATCTCTAGGGACAGAGCAGCACGCACCATCACTCTGACCCAGTCACACTTGGTGCGTCAGGTCCTTCAGAGGTTCGGTCTTCAGTTCTCCTCCGCACAGCCCACACCTCTACCCGTAGACCATGGGCTCTCTGCTCCCGTTCCTGAGGAGCCAGTAGAGCCCAGTGGCCCCTACGCAGAGCTGGTGGGTTGCCTCATGTACCTGATGACTTGCACTCGCCCAGATCTCGCATACCCTCTCAGCATCCTGGCTCGCTTTGTGGCTACAGGCAGACACCGACCTCAGCACTGGTCTGCCGCTAAGAGGGTTTTGCGTTATCTTGCTAGTACATCAGGCATGGGGTTAGTGCTAGGAGGACGCAGGCCAGTGGTCCTTACTGGGCACACAGACGCTTCTTGGGCAGACGACGCTGAGACGCTCAGGTCGTCGCAGGGCTACTGTTTCAGCCTTGGTTCGGGTGCTATCTCTTGGAGATCCACTCGCTCGTCGTCTGTGGCTCAGTCTAGCTGTGAGGCTGAGATCTACGCTGGTGCCATGGCGGCACAGGAGCTCCGCTGGCTGACCTTCTTGCTCACAGACTTAGGTGAGCGGCCTAGCTCTGCCCCGGTCCTGTACGCTGACAACAGGGCCATGATACTCCTGTGTCAGGAGCCTCGGCTTGAGGGCAGAGCGAAGCATATCCAGCTGCGGTACTTCCTCCTGCGCGAGCTACAGCAGCGCCGCCAGGCCCGCGTAGTTCACTTGGCCTCAGGTGCCAACACAGCTGATATCTTTACTAAGGCGCTTGCGCCTAAAGATCATCAGCGGCACTGTGTACAGCTTGGTCTTGTTCCTATAGCTGCTCCCCTGTTAGGATCCTGATTGTGTACTCTCTATTATATATGCTTGTCAGACTGGCCTTGTGGCCTTACCTCCAGTGGCTGGACTAATAGTGCCACCCTGGCTTGCTTCAGTTTTGGTTGTATTCTTGCTGACTGGTCTCCAGACCCCTGCCTCAGTGGTTGGACTAGTAGTGCCGCCCTGAGCTGTTTGCTTCTTGTTTAGTTTCACCCCTTGTCTAGCCTAGGGGGTGTGTCAACTTATACATATTATCTATGTAGAAGTTATAGGCTAGACTGAGGTATGCTTCTAGTGAGTACAACCAACTAGTATTTGTTCTAGGTTTCCACCTCTAGTAATCATTCGTTTCTACGTTAACACCTGGACCTAACCTACTCATGATTCCATATCAAAGTGAACGAATGACTAGAACCACAGCATACAAGGGAATATAACCTAGTGGGTTGTACTCTCTAAGGCACAACCCTGTGTAGTCTATAACAACATACAAGAGTATTTTTGACAAAATGGCTAGTTCACCAAATAGCACAACCACCTGATGAAGTTCGAATGCAATCTGGACACGGTGCCATGTCTCTTCTTGCTCTATGCCAAGGCTTCGAGAGGATGAGACGTACTGACCACAGCGGAAAGTACTGTTGCAAATGCTTGATCATAAGCAATGAAGCCAGTGAACCAGAACAAGAAGTTGTCTTCTGTGGTGAGGCGAATGTACTTCTCATTGTCGTCTGATGGGTTGGCTTCAGGCGCCACCCCTGTTATCTTGTGCAGCGGAATGGTTGCCTGGGGGTTGTACAGAGGGGGGTGAGGGGGGGGAGAGGGGGGAATTGAATTGTGCGGCTTTAACACTTGCTAAAAAAAATCATCTTGCAAGCAGAGGACGAGAAACAGACAAATCAATAGATTGATGGATGGTGCTGATTACAGCAACCAGGAGCATACAGGAACAAAACGAGTGGAATTTACTGTTGGGTGCAGAATAAACCGTTTTGTGGCTTTGTGAAGACTGCATACATGTGTGGCAGTAACACGTTAATGTGTGCGGCCAGAAATGCATGGCACTAGAACCTCAAAAAGGAGCAGCAAAAGATCAGGGGCAAGGATCACATACAGGATAGCAGCAAAAGATGCAGTCACAATGATGCCCACAAACACCACAAAAACAAGAACCTGCTGACTCACCACGAAGTGGCTCTTGGCGATCTCTGTGGGGCGCCCGAGCGGGTTGTACTCGAACTCGGCGTCCGATAGGAAGCCGATGGACGCCGTGGTGACGACGAGCGTGCCGGGCATGAGCCCCACGCTGGTGAGCAGGTTGCAGTAGAAGTAGAAGAGCAGCTTCTCGTCCGGCGGCGCCCAGAAGTGCTCCCGCCACAGCGCCTCCGCCCCCGCATGCGTCATCAGCGTCGGGTTTCCCAGCTTGCCCACTGCAGGCGGAGAGAAGGAGGGTGGCAACCAGTTGGTTCTGTTGATGAGGAGTAACACGTGCCAGAGGTTGAAGCCAATGAGGTGTAGAAGACATCATGAGAGCAGAAACAGCGGAGGCCTTTATCCCGCACCAACATGGCTTTCGCCCAGCGTTGTCACGCAACTACGCGCATCGGCTCTGCTCTGCTGTGCCCTTGTGCGTTGTACGCAAGAGGCGTGAAATAGTGATTGTGACATACTATGGGTGTAGAGGTTGGAGGCCATGTCTGTTGTCTGCTTGCCGAAGTCACTTATCGTGGACACCATGTCCCCGAACCACCCCGTGCTGCCTGCGAGGAGGGCGGACGTGTGATAAGGCATGGAGGGATGGGAAGGTGGGAAGACATGAGAGGCTCTGAGGAGGAGGTTGGGGAGTGGTGGGGTGAGGCCCCGAGGGAGAATGTGAGGGATGGAATGATGAAGGGAGGGCAATGATGAAGGGGAATGATGAAGGGAGGGCAATGATGAAGGGAGGGGAATGAGGAAGGGAGAGGAATGAGGAAGAGAGATGAATGAGGAAGGGAGGGGAATGAGGAAGGGAGGCGAATGAGGAAGGGAGGCGAATGAGGAAGGGTAGGGCGGAGCATGCACGTGGGGATGGGGGGCGGACAGAGCGAGGAAGGGGGCGTTGGAGAGGAGGAGAGAAGAAGGAAGAGAAGGGGAGCGGGACGGCAAGAGGGGAGATGAGAATGGAGGTGAGCGGAGCAAAGGAGAGGTGGGGAAAGGTGGTCGCGGGGACTGGCAACGGCGGAGCGGAGGCATGGCGGAGAGAGGGTTGGAGAGGCAGAACAGGCGGAAGGAGGAATGGCGGGGAAAACAGAGCGGAGGAGGTCGGAGAGAGATCTGCCCGCGAGGAACGGCCGAGCGGGTTGGGAGGGTAAGCGCGGGGAGAGCAAGGGGCCGACTGGCACGATCAGAGACAGCAAGGGGCGGCTTGCACGGCGAGGTACCTCTCTTGGATTGCGACTCGGCCGCCATGGCGCGGATGTGACTATGGCGCGGATGTGATAATGGGGAGGAAGGCAGAGCACAGTGAGAGACACGGACGAGGCTGAGGGCCCGCGCGTTCAGACGGAGCACTGGGCACACCCGGAGCCGAGTCGGACGGAGACGCGTGGAAGAGGGTCTAACGAGAGCAGTAGGCGCCCGGCGATTCAGCTCTGGTAACGCGTCCGCGAGTGAATCTCAGCCACGAGCATGTGGGCAGCCAGAGAGTGTCCGCGATTTTTCCCCGCTGAGGGCGTGGTACATGGATGGCGCTTCGCCTCGAGACCGCAACCCGGGTTGCGCAACTGGCGAAAAACCTTACTCAGCCCACTTTTCACACTCCACACGAGGCTCGACGATTTTGGTAACCAGGATGGATGTCGCATTCGATGGGTTCAACCAGCAGAACACCATAACCATCAAGCCAACAAGCCCTAAACAAATACAGGGTACTCTGTATGCACATCCTAAACCCTTAATGGAGATTTGACCTACCTTAGCTGTAAGGAAATTCCATTTTCCTTACTGGGCTCGACTACAGCGCGTACGCCCTCGACTCTCAGAAGTCCAGGCTCGGCCAACTTCTTCTGTCCCGAACCATTTCGCGAACCCAAACCTAGACGCGCAGCGCTTCCGTGGCTTTCGCCAACCGAACCGCCCCAACCTGTTCGCGTGGTTCTCAGCTAGCTTTGTTCGTGCCTATAAATGCCTAGGCCCTCATTTGTATTGACACTCTTGAATCACGACTCCTTTATTACACTACATGTTATTACTCTGATTAATTCATAACAGCTGGTATAGGAGCCCCGTTCCTGCCCGCTTAGTAATCCGTAGAAAAGTCCGATTATATCGGGAGAGGACCTGACAGAATAGAGGGCTGGCCAGCGGTTGGTAGGCGAGCTCGTTAAAGCCCCTCCAACTAAAAGCGTGTGCACCCTCAGATCTGTTTAGTAAAATTTCCAGCATGTCTATCACGCCGGAAACCTCTGCCGGCCGTAGTGTTAGGAACGTGACTCAGGAGGAGTTTGACGAGTTGCAAGCCAGGGCGGCTACAGTGACGACACTGCAGGCCCAGCTTCAACAACTCGCCGACAAGTTCCAGTCACTGGGAAGCGAAGTGCAGACGCTGCGCAACGAAAACTCGTCGCTTCGCCAGACGCGGGGTGAAACGCGCCAGGGACGGCCTGTTACCCGAGACGAAGATGATGCGAGCGAAGCGAGGGCGTCGGAGACACCTGAAGCAGCTGAAGAAGTCCACAGCGAGCCGCGGGTGGCCATTAAAATCAAGCCTCCGATGCCCCCACCATTCAACCCGGCCGGCAGGACAACTACAGTGAGCGGGTGGCTGTTCGCCATGGAAATCTTAACGGCAGCAAGTATTAATGACAATGCATCACGTGTCAACTTGGCTGTGTCGTTGCTGAGGGGACCGACACTCGACTGGTGGCGCATGCATTTAGACGAGGGAGGAGCCCCGGCAGGGAATCAACAGGCGGCAGATGGGGAGCTGAGTTCATCAACGGCGAAGGCAAAACCAATCTTTGGATCGGCCACGATCCGCACGTGGAAAGCGTGGGGCGAAGCGTTGAAGGGCAGATTCGAGCACATATCCATGCACGAAAATGCTCGCACAAAGCTTCGGATGTGGAGACAGTTGGGCTCTGTCCAAGAATACGCGGCATCGTTTCTGGCAATCTGCGATAAAATCGGAGGGCTTAGCGAAGACTAGAAAATCTATCGCTACGTGGGTGGTCTCCAGCCGGACATTCAGGAAGAGATCGTCCTGCGAGCCCCGGCGACGTTCAACAAAATTGTTCGCATAGCAGACGCGCTGGACACACGACGTGGACTCGTGAGAGCGGGTTTCCGGGAGGGAAATCGCTTTCGCGGCCAGCCCCAACACACATCAATCAATGGTGTGGACGTGTTTGCAGCCCGAGTATTTTCGGGGACCTGCTTCCACTGCAACCAGCCGGGTCACATGGTGAGGGACTGCCCGCAGCTGAAGAAGAACTTACCTAACGACAAGAAGCAGTCGGGAAATGGAGATCGACAGTAGCACATGGGCCACCTTCTGACTTGACTGCGTCGCCCAAACGCCACCACCCCCACCAGGTTATAGTGCCGATTTGGGCTATCGACCATTCCTTGAATAAGGGGGGTGAACCGGTTGATCGCCCTGTGCTGGTTGAAGGGAGAGTTGGTGACACCCGCATCAAAATATTCGTTGATGGTGGGGCGAGCCACAGTTTGATGGACGTGACGAAGGCGAAAAAATTGCGATTGCAGCTGGAGCGCTGCATGCCGAAAATCGACGCGAGATTGATCGACGGCACGCCATTGGCAATTCGGGAGCGAGTACCTTACGTGCGAGTAACATGCGGCGAAAATTTCGGCTTCACGGCGAAGATGCTGGCGACAACTTTGGACGGCTGCGACATGCTGCTGGGACGTGATTCTGCGAGAATACAACTCGAGCATCGACTGGCGGACGGGCGATTGTCGCATCAAATGGAGTGGCGAGTGGCGATGACTACCCAAGTGGAGCTGCCAAGACTCGACCACAGCGACGGTCAGCGCGGTGATGATCAAGCGAGCCATGATTCGAGGGGCGCAATTGTATGCCATCCGATGGATCGCATAAACGGCTGTCGACACACCAACCGACATCGACAAACTCCGCGCAGCTGTCCCGGATGATTTGGCAACGGTGATTCGGAAACACGCCAACATTTTTCCAGACGACCTACCGGCGGGTTTGCCATCTGAGCATGACCATGACCACAAAATCGAGCTAGAGCCCGGCGCGCAACCTACTGTTCGGACTCAATGGCGGGTGACTCAGCCCGAGCAAGATGAACTTCGACGCCAGCTGGACTATATGCTCGAGAAAGGTTTTGTTCGCCCCAGCACTTCACCGTTCGCAGCTCCGATCCTGTTCACCCCGAAGAATGATGGTGGTCTACGAATGTGTATTGACTACCGCGCCTTGAACCGGGTTACCATCAAGTCCCGCTATCCTATCCCGCGTGCCGACGAACTCATCGACCAGCTTCGTGGAGCCAAGTTCTTTTCGAAAATTGACCTGCGATGAGGTTACCACCAAATCCGTGTGAACAAAGCTGAGTGCTACAAGACGATGTTTCGGACCTGGTACGGCCTTTTGGCTTAACAAACGCGCCTTCGACATTCCAGTTTACCATGAACGAGGTTTTTCGAACGCTGCTGGATAAATGCGTCATCGTGTACCTCGGCAACATCCTGATCTACAGCACTATACGGGAGCAGCATTTGAAGGAATTGGAAGCAGTTTTCTCTCTCCTGTAGCAGCACCGACTCATCACCAAGGGCTCTAAGTGCGAGTTTCTCAAACAAGAACTGGAGTTTTTGGGGCACGTCATTTTGATCGACGACATTCAAATCGACCCCAAGAAGATCACGACAATCCAAGATGGGAAGCCGCCGGCCAATTTCCATGAACTTCGGAGTTTTCTGGGGTTTGTGAATTACGTTCGCTGGTTCATCCCGAACATGGCGGGGGTAACTTCCCCTCTTACGGATCTTCTGAAGAAAGGCAAGTTTTATGAGTGGGGGGGAGAGCAGCAGGCTGCGTTCGAACAGCTCAAACTTTTCCTGACTACACCTCTGGTTCTTCGGATTGCAGATCCTCACCGTCCGTTTGAGCTCATCACCGACGCTAGCGATCTGGCCGTTGGCACAGTACTGTTACAAGATTTCGGCGACGGCCTCCAACCCATCGCCTACGAGTCACGAAAGCTGAACCTGGCCAAGCGAAATTATCCTGTCCACGACAAGGAGTTACTCGCCATCGTTCACGCTTTCAAGGTCTGGCGCTGCTACCTGACGGGCGCTGACGTGACAGTCTGAACACACCACAAATCGCTACAGTTCATCCGCACCCAACCGACACTGAATCTCCGACATATTCGCTGGCTCGATTACCTCGAGTCCAACTCCCACTACCGAGTCACCTACAAACAGGGGGTTAGCAACATCGCCGACGCACTGACCCGCCCTTTAGTCCACACCGTCGCAGTCCTAATTACCCAAGCTAGTCCGCTGCTAACTGGCCTATTCACCCACGGATACAGTACTGGTCCATTCTTCACCCACGGATACAGTACTAATCAACGATTACTGCCGAGCAGACAACGAAACTGTTCCTCATGAACATCGTGCGGCTACACGGCATCCCTTCGGCAATCATCAGCGATCGTGACCCACGGTTCACGTCCAATACCTGGCAGCAGTACGGCACACATTTGCATCTGTCCACGGCATACCACCCGCAATCGGACGGCTAGACTGAGCGCACAAATCAGATGATGGAGCAGCTGATTCGCACGACATGCATAGACTCGACCCAATGGGAAGAATCCCTTCCCTTGATCGAGTTTGCGTACAACAACGTCCTATCGGCCACGACTACTCAGTCCCCATTCTTCCTTAATTACGGGATAGATCCGACAACCCCTCTATCGCCATCGATAGAAAATCCGGCACCAAGATCTCAGCAGTTCGTAAAAAATCTCCGACAGTCTCAGCAAAAAGCAACCGATGCCGTCCTCAAAGCCAACCAGAGGGCTAAGCAGCAAGCTGACCGACGACGCCGAGACTTAACACTTGCCCCTGGGCAATTGGTCCTGCTCGACACCAGAAATTTGTGAATTCCCCTCCCAAATAAATTACGACCAAGATTTTGCGGCCCATTCCGCATCATCCGCATGGTGACACCAGTCACCGCCCAGCTGCAACTACCGGCCGACTGGCGAATTCATGATTCATTCCACGTCAGTCTCCTGCAACCATTCATCCCGAGCATGACTAATCTCGACCGTCAACACATCAATCCTACGGTCAACCCAGTACCCGAGCCGATGATGGAGCCATCCAAGATTCTCGCTCATCGCGTACGAGGCCATCGATATACAGCAGCCGTTGATTTCCTTGTACAATGGGTCAATCGCACGACTGACAACTATCTTTGGGTCCCCGCAGCTATGCTCCATGAACACGAAGTCGCCCGGGACTATTTACACCGACGACAAGTCCCGGATGTGAGTAGTCTCATCCCGGAAGAGGGGGTGGTGTAAGGAAATTCCATTTTCCTTACTGGGCTCGACTACAGTGCGTACGCCCTCGACTCTCGGAATTCCAGGCTCGGCCAATTTCTTCGGTCCCGAACCATTTCACGAACTCAAACCTAGACGCGCAGCGCTTCCGTGGCTTTCGCCAACCGAACCGCCCCAACCTGTTTGCGTGGTTCTCGGCTAGCTTTGTTCGTGCCTATAAATGCCTAGGCCCTCATTTGTATTGACACTCTTGAATCACGACTCCTTTATTACACTAAGTATTTTTACTCTGATTAATTCATAACATTTGCTCTTGCTAACGCCACAAGTTCTTGGTTTCCAAGATACTGCCACAAAATAGAGCCCAAAATGGAGTTTATTTTGTACGAACCGTTCGTTTATTTACTTTTTGCTTCATATGGTATTGCAATGTCAGATATTGATAAAGGTTGCTACTTGTAGTGCAAATGGCATTGTTCTCATTCCACTGGGATCAAGTATAAAGAGTTCCCAATATATTCATACATCTATATAAATTACTACACTATGAAGGATATGTCCATGCCGATGACTATCTACCCGGGCTTATTTTGTCAAAGTAAATCACTCAGATTTTCTGAAAATTGGAGTCATTTTTGAAAACCACTCTGATGGTCCTGGTGTCATAAAGTCACCAGTCCTAACTAGTGGGACAAGAAGGGATGTCCTCAGGAGGGTTAGACTCCATATATCAACCTTCCCCGGGGAAAGCCTCCCCAATACCCTCCCTAGAGAGAGAGAGAGAGAGAGAGAGAGAGAGAGAGAGAGAGAGAGAGAGAGAGAGAGAGAGAGAGAGAGAGAGAGAGAGAATCGATAGGGTTATCCCAATGCCACGATACACCCCCCCGCTGGGATAGCGAGTGCATCAGGACTTGAACCCCGGATGGCTCTGATACCAAGTCATGGAGTCACCAGTCCTAACCACTGGGACAAGAAGGGATGCCATCAGGAGGGTTAGGCTCCATATATCCACCTTCTCGGGGGAAAGCCTCCCTAGTACCCTCCCTAAAGAGAGAGAGAGAGGATCGACAGGGTTATCCCAGTGCCACGACACCTGGGTGAAATTTTGGAAGTATCAAAGAAGCTTAGGACACTAACTAAACTTAGGAACCTAACTTAGCTAGGAAGCAAGGAAGGACGCCATGGAATGGCGTGAGGAAACTAGATCTAGGAGCGGGGGAGAGAAGTTGACGAGAAAGAATAGAATCGATTAGGAAGAGAGAGGAGTAAAAGGAGGGGTTTGTACCCTCTACAGAAAGGTTCAGTAACAACCTACCAAGCATATATTAAATTATAACTTATATAATTTTAACAGGAAGTATAAGTTTTCTCTGATTTATCAGATTTGGCCTATGTACCACCCTGAAGAGTTTTCAATGGAGAGGATGCTCCAAGATTTTTCCATGTACTCTCGGTTTTCGGCGAAGTCCTCCGACTACCAGTCACACCCATCCCAAACCCCACGCAACTTGGATAATTTTGGCTAAGTCCTTCGCAACTGGCCACATCCTGCCTCATACCCCTCGTAACCTGGAAAATTTCGACGAAGTCTGTCAACAAATATATATATGTAGCTTAGCTAGTGTCAAACATGTGTATTTGTCATGTTTGTATAGACTGTATAGGGTCACCTCTTAGAGAGTACAACACTTAGGTATATCTGTGTGTACTCTCACTCTGGCCAACATTCAATTCTCTATTTAATATGGTATCACGCGTAGGTAGGATCCCCCCCCCCCCCCCACCACCTACCGCTTCCGCTCGCCCCCTAGCTGGGCCCCGTCGTGCCTCCCTCCTAGCCGCGACCCTCCCTAGCCCCGTCGCGCCCCTCCAGGGCCCCGTCGCGCCCCTTTTCTGGGCCCCGAAGCGCCTCTCCTGGGCCCCGTCGCGCCCCTCCTAGGCCCCGTCGCGCCCCTCCTGGGCCTCGTAGCGCCCCTCCTGAGCCCCGTAGCGCCCCTCCTGGGTTCAGTCGCGCCCCTCCTGGGCCCCGTAGCGCCCCTCCTGGGCCCCGTCGTGCCTCCCTCCTAGCCGCGACCCTCCCTAGCCCCGTCGCGCCCTTCCTGGGCCCCATCGCGCCCCTTCAGGGCCCCGTCGCGCCCCTCCAGGGCCCCGTCGCGCTCCTTTCTGGGCCCCGTAGCGCCTCTCCTGGGCCCCGTCGCGCCCCTCCTAGGCCCCGTAGCGCCCCTCCTGGGCCTCGTAGCGCCCCTCCTGGGCCCCGTCGCGCCCCTCCTGGGCCCCGTAGCGCCCCTCCTGGGTTCAGTCGCGCCCCTCCTGGGCCCCGTAGTGCCCCTCCTGGGCCCCGTATCGCCCCTCCTGGGCCCCGTCGCGCCCCTCCTGGGCCCTGTAACGCCACTTCTGGGCCCCGTCGCGCCCCTCCTGGGCCCCGTCGAGCCCCTCTTGGGCCCCGTCACGCCTTCCGGCCCTGTCGCACCCGTCCGGCCCCGGCGCACCCGCCCCGCCCCGTCGCGCCCAGCCCGGCCTCGTCGCAGCCGCCCGGCCCCGTCGCACCCGCCCGGCCGCCGTCCCGCTCGCCCGGCCCCGTCGCGCCCGCCCGGCCCTGTCGCACCCGCCCGGCCCCGTTGCACCCTGCCCGGCCACGTCGCAGCCGCCCGGCCCCGTCGCACCCGCCCGGCCGCCGTCCCGCTTGCCCGGCCCCGTCGCACCGGCCCGGCCCTGTCGCACCCGCCCGGCCCCGTCGCCCCAGCTCGGCCCCGTCGCGCCCGCTCGGCCCCGTCGCCCCGTCCCGGCCCTGTCGCACCAGCCCGGCCCCGTCGCGCCCGCCCGGCCCCGTCGCGCCAGCCCGGCCCCGTCGCGCCCGCCTGGCCCCGTCGCGCCAGCCCCGGCCCCGTCCTCCCCACTGGTACGGTTCCCCCCCCACCCCGCCCTGCACTGCCCTGCTCCGTACCGCCCCGCACCACACTGTACTGCCTTGCACCGCACTACACCGCACTGCACCTCACTGCACCGCACTGCACCGCACTACACCGCACTGCACCGCACTGTACCGCACTGCATCGCACTGGACTGTTCCTGATGGCGGCGGAGCTTCGCTTCGACGCTGAAGGTCAGCCCCTAGAGTTCGAGGCATGGCTTGCCGACCTCCGCCGCCAACTCACTGGCCAGCGGCAGGATGGTGAACCGCTTTCCGCACACCTTGACGGTACGCTCCCCTGCCCAGACCCCCCTGCTATTCTGCCCGCTGACCCCACACCAACTGAGCGTGAGTCTACTACTCCCACTGCCCGTGCGTGCTCTGTCTGGCTTTCTCGCGATGCTGTCGCCCAGCTTGCCATTAGCAACGCCCTCCCCCCGTCCGAGCGTCCTCGCTTTAGGTCCCTCACTACTGCTCAGGCATACTTAGATGCTGTCATCCAGCGCTATTCCACCCCTCCGGCTGCCTCGGTGGGTCGCCTGATCCTCCCGATGCTCTTTCCTGACCTTGCATCTTTCCCCACTGTCTCTGACCTCGCTGCCCACCTGCGCTCGATAGAGGAGACCTGGCGCGCCGCCTGCACTGACGCACAGCTTAGAGCCCACCAGCCGCCCATTACCTCTACCCTCTACCTGCTTGCCACCCGCCTCCCTGACCGCCTTGCTGTCGCCCGCGACCACTTCCTTAGCTTTCACCCCGCCGACCTCACCCTCACTGACTTTGTAGACACCCTGACTGTGATAGAGACCCGTCACCGCTCCATCGCCCAGGCGAGCGGTGTCGTGCCGGTCCCTATCTTTCACGGTTGTGCCCCCGCCCAGTGTA